TGTGCATGCTGTTGCAGCGATTGGTAAACGCCCTGGGTTATCCTGCTACGAATTTATTTCCACCTTTTACAAATTGGAAGCATTGGTGTGCACATATGCTGGAATTGTTCATCCTATTGGTGATGTGTCTGGATGGGTGATTCCTCAAGAGATTCTATCAAGGAAATGTGACCCTCCATCTTGCAACAAGCGCCCTCCTAGAAGACCTAAGAAGAAAAGGTATCCTTCTGTAGGGGAGTTCCGTTATGGCAAACGTAGAGTGAAGCAAAGATGTTCGAGGTGCAAGTCTCATGGCCACAACATGAAATCATGCACCAATCCAATTCCAATGGCAGATGCAGCTCTTACTTAAGAATTGCTTAGTATCATTTACTTTGTCTCTTTCCAACTATATGTATTTCAATTTGAGATGTTCTTATTACGAATATGGATGATTTAATGCTTTATGTTCTTTTTGTTGAACAATATGGTCCTTGAACTCCACGCTTTATATTTAATAGCCAAATACTTGTTATATTTTTACACAATTTCAAGATTTACACTTTATACGTCCATACATGACTCCATAAAATGGAATTTATTTCCCTGTAATAAACTTAAACAATACATTTAACACCACAGAGTGTCATTTTTTTCACAGTACTCTTGTAATTTCAAATTTATGTTTTATTCTCTATTTGTCATTCTTAACACATTGTATTGGTTGTTTTATTCTCTATTTGTCTTTTTTTGACACAATTTAAATATATGCACTTTATAATTCCATTAATGACTGCGTAAAGAGGAAATTATTTCACTAGAATTGATTTAAAAAAAACGTTTACAACACACAATTTCAACAGTTTCACTTTCACATTACTTCAAAACACAACAAAGGCACATGTACCCAAACACAGAATTCTAGTACAGAATGAAACTAAGTCACAATGCAATATGCCAATGACCATCACTGACCATATGCATTGTTGTCATACACCAAAGGTTTCATCATACAAAGCAAAAATAGCAATAGAGTTTTCAACCAGCTCAATACACAAAACAGATAATAACATCAATATGTTTTATAGTCACTCCTTTGCAGCCATATTTGACTCTGCAAATCGAACTAGCTCTGTAGCCATCTTCATCCTATATGCTGCCATCTGATCTGTACGGATGTCCCTAA